TATATATATATATATATATATGTATATATATATTAGTTGGAAATGTAGGACACAAAAAACATACCATTTCAGAAAATGGTAGTGCATTTTTCAATGCTTTAATTGCTTCAGCAACCTTAGCTCGATATATCTGCCATAAGTGAACTTTTAGCAAATTTACTATGCAACTTAGGAGAGAAATAAAACGAAGGTTAGCTAATACTACTCCAATAAATAGCTACGTACAAGGCTATCTGCGCTTTTGTTGCGGAGAAAAGGGATAATTTTGTATGAGAAAACAATAAAACGCTAACAAACTCCCAAAGAACACAATGGAAATTTTCTTACCCGACTACTAAGCACTTTTGGAGCTCTAGTCATTTTCGTTCCCATGCTTGCTTCAGATTGTTGCGCGACATTAGAGCAATATTTTGACGGTGGCTTAATCAAGACACCAAAGGGGAGCCAATTCTCAAAATGGCATGGAACAAGCATAACATATTCCGCAAAGAATCAAAATGAAATATACTTATGAAATAGATGAGAATCAACTTACGATCGAAGTTATTTGTGCACATAGCTAAAGAATATATATATTAAATAGAGCTATAAATATGAACATACTTCTGCAATTTCTTCAGATTCAACCTTATTTGAAATTTTTGCTTGTTCTCCTTGAGTATTTGGTAATGAATATCCAATCTATATTTAAAAAAAAAAACCTTCAGAATCATAGACTTTAGGCCCTACGTGTGACATTATTTTAGAACATAGGTACCACACATTACCATGGAAGGCAAGAAATCCTCCAAACATCCAACTATTGCAGCAGGACATGGAGAGTTTGATAAACTGCTCAATGCTTCAACATCAAGAAGACTAATAATAGGCATCGATTGATTCAAAGTTGAAGCGCTAGTTTCAGGAAAGGATGTTCTCTTCAAGTAATTCCAATTAGAGCTTCCAACATCCAACGGTGAATCTATTGCTCTTACATCAGAATTATATTTAGCTAGAGATGATGCAGTCTTATCGAGCATTTCACCAGATGTAGTTACAAGTAGTGGCCTTGGATTGGGCAGAACAATACCCTGAAGAAGAATATTAGCATTATAACTATTTTTTTGCTCAAATTTATATAAAAGAACTATTTTTAAAAATAGCATAAATTTCATACCAGTTTCTTTTGTATCTAACAACCCCTTTTCTTCTCACATATTTACATGCATGCGAGCCTCATATTTGATGATATTTTCCATCGAGGATTTCTTTATTATAAAATTAATCTCATGTATGATAATAGTAGATAAATGAAAATTTTAGAGAGAGTTTTAATTGAAAAAACAAATATAGTTGTGTGGATCCTAGCAATTATCAATAGACAAAATCATAAATCCAAATAAAAAACTAAGATATAAAACTAAAAATGATCTTTTAGTAATACAAATCTAGTAAATGCTAAAAATCATTAGATCAGACAAATAAATAGTTTATTGAAAATTACTTTCCCACGACACTACTAGTTGCATAACTTGGCATTGCAAGTAAATCAAGGGAAATAATATTAAGTATCAATTAGTTATGAAAGCACAATAAGTTTTTTGCATAATATTGCTTATGTAACCGTTCATTAAAATATGTCTCCAACAAACACCAAATGGCATAATCTTATTCATCTGTAACTACCATATTCCAAATCTTGCAATCAAGCATTTAGCTTTATTAATTATGCATGCTTCCCCATTTTTAACAGGACAAATGGAAAGCTCATGAAAGAGTTCATTGACATCGAGCATATAGGATCAGTTAAATTTATAATAAATACCTCATCAGTATTAAGACATTTGAAAATTGGAACTAACATAAGGGTTAATGCTACTCTCACACATAAGTTGCACCGGAAACCTTGTTTATATTGATCTAATTCTATGATAACATGAAAGGTCTACAAAACCTAAGGCTGACAGCATTTTGCTACAAAATAATTCAAATAAATTGAGGATGCATTAAAAGAATAAAATTTTGAAGAACACAAAACAAAAATTAAAAATTGAAAAGAAGGGTGCCACTACACCAACAATCATCATAACTAGCTTTTATCCTAACTGATAAAGTTGATTATTTGAATTCAAATTAACCATTCATTCCCACTAAAGTATAGCATGAGAAGTAGCCTTTTTGGAGAACTTGCATCCACATTATTGTGGGTTTAACCCTTTTCCCTCATCTTTCAACAATAATTTTATTTAACTAACAAGTGCATTTTCTATTGTATATTATAAATGTTCAAACCTTCGAAAGTCTATTTTTCAATACCTTCGCTTCAATTGATGCTACTTCCATAACCTCTCTAATATAATCATTCCTCAATTTATCCTTTATAATTTCGTCACACAAAGATTTTGACATTCCTTTCTTTGTTTTGCCAATCTCAACTAGTCTATTAACAACATTTTTACTAGCAAACACTATGATTCAATTAGTCCAAATAACATACAATTTATAAATATTACTATTAATTCTCCAAGGCATTGTTTTAGTGTAATACTTTTGAGGTATTTCTCCATTTTAAATGCTCGTCATTAACTAAAGAAATTATTCTGTTATCCATATATCAATCTATTGCCAATTGAATCCTAGAGTTATTGGGCCAGTATATCACTTCATCTTAGGGTAATACCTTTGAGTTGTGAAGTAATATTGTCAATATTAAAAACAATAGTAATAGTATAGCAAGCATCAATAATAACCTTCTTTGCTCATTCCTCAACACAAATAAAATTGATCAAGCATTCTAAACCATCAATGTTAAACAACCTCCGCCATCAATGAAATTGGTAATCCCAATTGGCTCTTAGAGTGTAGCAAAATAAAACTTAGTCATCAATACTCTCAAAATTTTATCATTAGTTCTAAGTTTTGTTTTGAAAAACAAGAATTTGTATATTTATCAATAAAATTGAGTCAACTACATCATATTAAGTTAAATTTTGAGATTTCCCAAACTAAAATTTTTACTTAAGATGAAATCTTCTAAAGTGCGATGATATAATTGCATATTCTATCGGGACTGAAAAGTTCTAATAGTTTGATAATTTGTGGTTTAAATTCAGTAAAATGAGAAAATGTTTTAATAATTAAATATTTTAGTTAAAGAGTATGATCAACATTGATAAAGAAACCATTAGAAATTTTGCATTCTTAGTTAAATATGTAAGCAAAAGCTTTATGGTAAGTTGTGTCTGTAGCTTTGTTAGAGATAAACATTAATTTTCTTATGCCAAAATGATGTTGAGAAAGAGCTTTGTGACAATTAGCATGCATAACCTTCATCTAAAAGTAGTGCGAGAAAGCTAGGTAAAGACATCCAAAGGTTTATAGCTTCCTAAGAAATTGATGCACATTTGAGATATACATGTAATTCTTGAAACATAATGTTGAACTCTTTCAAGAGATAAAATCATATAATTTACCTTCGGAGGGAAAATCATTTCTATTGCATTGATTGATAACATATGTTTTTATTTCAAACTTATATATTCATTGTATGGAAATAATTTGAGATTATAAAAATAAAAAATTGAAATGTCAAAACAAAGATTTTAATACTTGATATCGAAAAAGTTAAGATGATTAAACACGTGCTCATATAACTGAGAAAATTAACCATGGAAGGTTGAGAATTATTACAATTAATATGTATGCTTCGTAATATTAAACATTCTAATTGAATGTTATGTGAATGTATATATAAGAGAAAAATCAATTACACCAAATCATCAAATATTTACTATTCATCTTTTCCTATAAAAATCTAGAATGAATAGTTTGTTTAATACATTTACATACTAGAAAAAATATAAAGATATTTGAAAAGTTGTTGAACTTATATTCATGATTCAAGACAATGCAAATTAAAATCAGCATTTTCACCAAATCATAAAAAAAAAAAAAATAGTATTTGTTTTGTCCTAAAAAGTTTAAAAATTTCACTCATACAATAGACCTGTATACAAAAAAAAATATGATGTCATGGGGCAAACTGCCACATAAGTTATATTTATAAACCATATTCTAAATTAGAAGAATATTATCCCACCATTTCCAAACATTTGATTGGCTTCACAAAGGGAATTTGGAAGGCAGCATACCATTTGATTTATCCCCAGTATTAAAATCAACAAGACGGTGGAAAGGAGATTTGAAAAATGGAGTAGGTTAGTCCGGAGAATGAAGAGGTTGAACAAATATAAAAGGTTGCTCAAAAGGATGAAGAATGTAAAAAAAAGTATAAAAAATTCATAGCATTTATATATTTATGAGTTTTAGCAATTTGTCCCACTAAGCACAATTTCCTATAGAAAATAAGTGTTGGCCTGAATATCCAATTTAGTGGGTATTCACAATGAAAATCACGACCATAAACACAATCACAATCACCCTAACCTAGATCTAGGGTCGATGACCTAACACAATCCTCTAAATTATGTGGTATGTGTGATGAGTCATTAGACAAAGCATTATGTTCAAGTTCTGAATTTATTTGACTTTATCATTCAAGTTATACAAAAATAGGATGGTTTGGGTTTAAGTTTAAGTGTTTTTGGGTGATATATAATTTTTAAGAATTTTATCATAAGTTTTGATTGCATGATTATGAAAGACTTATAAAATACCCAAATAACTTAAAGTGATAATTTGTGGCTTCATAAAATGTACATTAAATTTTTAATTTTTTGAAATTTAAGATTTTTATGAATTTTTATTATTAAAATTTAATTTATTTAACATTTCTCAAATTTAGGGATTTTTTTGATTCTTCAAAATTTTATATAAATTAATTAAAAGGTCAAAAATGATTCATAGATGTTTTATGTGAATGTTTTTCTTTATGAACTTTTATTAATTTTAAATAATTAATTTTTATTTTTTATTGTTTTATTAAATCCATAAAATAATATAAATCCAATTAATCTGCAAACTTAATTAGAAGGCCTGGGATTCAATTTTTGGGCTCTCTTCTAACCAACCAGAAAGCTCGAGCTCAAGTGGTATTTATAGGAGTACTGTGTTAGTCGGCCCCCATAGCTCCCTGCTCCAACCATTGGACCCAACTAACAGAAGGCTTAATTGGCCAATGATGAGCAGCCAAGTGTCAAGGTGGGTAGGAGGGTACGTAGAGTTGTTTTTATAGTTTAACCATAGAATGGTGCTCATTTTAGCCAATTAATTGAGGTTGGCTAGATTTTGAAGTGGGCTCATTTGAGAGTAGATTCATGGTTGTTTGGCTACGGATTTAAGTAATAATTAAGTGGCCCTATAGGTTGCTTCTCATCAATTCAAGGAGGGATAATGGCTAGACTTTAAATGTTATTTGATATAGCTATTTAACGTAGGATTTAAGCAAAGTGTGATGATACTTATGGGCTATTTAGCAAGAGATTTAAGCAAGGTTTAATGGCTAGATGTGAGCAGCAAGTGGATGAAGCTAAAGATTGTTTGGTGGCTGAATTTATGTAAGATTTAAGCAAGTTTTGGAAAATTTTATTGGCATAGGACTGATATAGCATTTCGGTTGTATTTTAGAAAGGTTTAATGTTTAGCTTGGGCGGTGAATTCGTGTTAAATTTGGAGTGATTGATCATTGTTTTGTGTGTTTGAGGTTGTTTCAGAATTCATTTTGTGTCATGTGTTGTGTAGGTTTAGATTGGACTTAGTGAAGTTTACGTGTTATTCATGTGAAATTTATAATAGGTTAAAGGTTGATTTGTGTGAAGTTTAGCAAGTTTTGAAATGTTTGTTTGAAATTGATTTGACAGTTATCTAAGTAATGAAGTTTATTTAGAACTTAAAGAATGTTTATGAATTATTTTAAAAGTGAAATTTATGTCTTATATTTTAAAGAATTAAGAATTGATTAATTCCATTTAGATTTCTTATGTGATATGTTTTATATTTTTTTTTTGAGTTATGTTTAATTTACATTTTTATTTTGTTCATTTTAGCTTTAAATGAATTTATTCGAGTTTCAAAAGTCATGGCATATGCGAATTTGAAGGGTAGAGACAACGATGATGAAGGAAGTGGCAAC